GATTAGTGATTACCTGGCAAACTGATTGCAACCTTCACAGCCCCAATTCCATTTTAACTGCTGCTGTTGTTATCATTTCAATTTTTATTCAATGTGGTGGAATGCGTGATGGTTAAAGGATTTTCCATTTCGTCACTTTTCAGATCAGACCATTTGAATTTAACAGAACATTTCTGTCACCCCCAAAACATCTAATCCAAATAAGCCAGCTGCTATACGAATGGGAACTAATTTTTCCAACCTGATGGAGGCTGATCGCATTGCAGTACTGCTTTCTGAATACATGCATGAAGATTTTCTTTTTCTGTCCTGAAACTTGCTTTAAAAATTTTTTTGAGTCCACTGTCATGCCAATTTTAGACTAGCCATGGACTAGCCAGGTATCCTCTTCACCCACACCCCAAACTCATTATAGTACCCACTGCTCAGAGAAATTAGGGCAAAGGGAAGTCAGAGCCAGCATTTGCTTGTCTGCAGAGAGACACTGTAGGGCAGCTTCAGCTGAACCCAATGTCAAGAGTTCTTTAGGGGCACCATGGTGGGCGATGCTCAGGAAGAACCTGTTGCTGAAGCAATTGTACACATCACACAAGCACAGATGACAATCATAGCTGTGCCTCCACTTTCCTCAGCAGCCCAAATGCTGAAAAGTCAGACAAAACAGCTGCCCTCTCCTGAATCCCTAGCATGTGGTGGTAATGGTGCTTTAGACCAGAATGGAACAACTCACCATAGCCAACTTGCTGTAGGACAACTCACCGTGGCCAACTTGCTGTGGGACAATTCAACAATTCAATTATTTAAAATAATCTTAAAAATATTTTAATTTTGTAACTCATGTCCTGTGACGAGTTGTCCCATGCTGACTTGCGAGTTGGCAGTGGTTGAGTTGGTTGCGGTGAACGGGCCATAGCGGATTGTCATAGATCCACTTCAGACATCCCATCACACCATCTACTATCAAGTGGATATGCCAAGGACAGAATCTGATGGAAGCACTTGCCCTTTAAAGACTCATGCCTTTGGCCTGCAACCCCTACAGATAGGATATGGGGCATCTTTCGATCTCACAAATTTCCTGTTTAAACATAACTGGGGTCTCCTTTCCACCTCTAGCAGTACTGGGTGCCTGTTTTGTTAATAGTAAGGTTTCTGCTGTTAGGTAAAGCAATGTATTTACATGCTGGTTGCAACAGGTGGCAAGTGGCAGAATGGTCCAAGGCATCAAATATGAAATATGGCACACTTCAGATGATAGATTTTGAATGTTCAGCCATTGAAGTGGCACTTCCTCCATCTAATTTTCTAAGACTACCACATGCCGTTACCTTTTTCAGCAATTTTATCTTCCTCTCTGTATCACTAGGACAGGGCAGCAGGCCCCAATCCTGCTGTTCATGCCACCTCAGACATTCAGATTCCATTCAGATGGAGGGTACTTTTTTCTCTCCTTCACCATTCACCAATGGGAGTGAGGCATTTGCTGCTATAGGCCCAGCACTTCCCAGATAGGTGCTGCTTCATGTGGAGATGCTAGACGGGGGACTAATGTGCGCAGCTATTAATCATTGGTTAATTGGTAACCAGCACTGAATCATGTGCTACCAAATCTCAGCTGTGGCTTTATAGTTACAGTGGAGCCAATCTATGAAAAGAAACGTAGCAACTTACATTGAGTTGATCTTGGGTCTGCAGAGGTCCAACAGTAGAATTATTACAGCCTGTCACACTCCTTTAATAGACAAATATTGTAAGATTCCTATTTTTACCTGTGTGAAGAGATGTTCCCATTTGGTAAAAATCCCTATTACTTTTTAAAGAGACTGTTGGATTACAGATGATACTTGACCATTAGTTTCTTCAGAATCTGAGAATGGGCATGCATGTACTTCAGTTTCTTCGCAATGAATCTCACGTGCAGAAATAACCCAATTTTTTTCAAAATGCTTAAAGAACTTTTGATTCTGAGGACATGGCATGGGCAACCCAATCAAACTGCAGTCCTGCAATGTCCAAAATTCTTTTGACTATTAGCATTTGTCAGTTTGTGATCCAAGGGTGAAGGAAGCAATCCTCCCTGTTCCCAAAAGCTTTTGGTTGCTCAACCTAGATCAGATTTAGGTGCAGCTAAAACAAGGAACTTGGGAGCCTGGGATTCTGCCTGGCAAGCCCAAGAACACTAATAGATCACTAATCCAGTGATCTATTGCCAGACATAAGCTTTCCAGAGAAAAAAGAAAAATTGAACCTGCTTGTTTTGTGCAACGGATGTAAGTCTCACCAGATCCAGCAGTTATCCAGCTACGTACTTCTTTGTCACCAACTAAGGGGTGCAAGGCAAAGTTCTCTTGGCTAAGAGGAATGGGAATATCATAATTCACATCTAAAAATGGATTTGATGTCAAAGTAAGTGTCCCTTTGCTGGACTTCTCAAAACAAGCAGTAAAGACTGAGGTCTATGTCCTTATCTCAGTGTCCTGACTACTCTATCAACTCACTTTGTCAAGCTCTTAATCTCTTATGAAGTCACCAGAAAAGGCAAGAGGTCAGACGGATGTGTCTCTGGTTATCACCTGAATGCATACTGGATGAGATCTACATGGTTCACTGATGTTGAGATTCAGAATGCCTCTATGTGCAGTTTCTTCAACTTCAAAGGCATCCTCAAAACTCCCAATTGACAAGATGAAAGTGCGGGTACATAACTAAATTCAGCAAGATATTACCATGTTCCCTCCCCGCCCCCCAATTTCTGCGCTGATGGCTTTTTGGGTTGTCAGCTTTCATCTGAGTTTCTGACTGACTGCATTTGAAAGCAAAATATAAGGCAATGGGTTGATTGGCTTTAGTTTGAACATAGGTGTTGCTCATTCTTTCTCCTTTTTTTCACTTTATAGAAACTGTAGAATGTATTTTAAAAATGCAAAGATGGTTTTGTATGGATTGTGTACAATACTTTTGTGCACTGTGTTTTGACAACATAAATGTAATTCATTATATATACATAAATATAATCTGATTGGAATGTAGTATTCTCTGCTCTAGAGGACAGGATTTATTGGAAATGTTCTCCCATGCACAAGGTCAGGTAGCCTAGGCCTCCTCACATTTCACTAGAATGCCTGTACCTCAAGTGAAAATGTTTGCTCTTATACATGCAAAAGCTAAGATTTTGTGGATTTGGGCTGAAGAAATATAGATGGTTACAAAACGGCAGCAAAGAATTACTCCTTTCCTTGAACAGAATACCATGGCCACATAACATCTGAAAACTTGTGTTTTCAAAAACTAAGGTGACTGTTCAAAATGGATTGACAAAACATCTGAATTGTAATGCTCACATCTGAAACAAAAACATTTTCTATTTCATACAGACCTAGGAAATAATAATTAAGCATCTTAAACCATGTAGAGAACTACATTAATTGTACTCTGTAGCGCGAAAGACTGTTGCTAACAACAGATTATGTAAGCTGGCCTCCCAGTTTTCACTGGCAGAGGGATGCAGGAAGCTGTCACAGCCGAAAACTGAGCTCGTGAGCCAGTTTTCGCTGGCAGAGCCCTCGGGTCACCACAGGTGCCCAGACACAAGTGACGTCCAGCTGCCCCCCGTCATCCCCAGGTCAAACACAACCCTGATGCTGTCCTCAGTGTAACAGTTTGACACCCCTGACCTAGAGGGTCTAGCTGCTTCATAGTCTCTACATAAAATGTAAGTCATTTTCCAAAATTTTGTCAGCTACTATTCTTTTTTACTGAATGTCATTATTTATACAGGATTCACAGGATTATACAGTATTTGTGTGGATAGAGTGCAAATGTAAAATATTTTATTGTAGGCCGCATTTATTGGTTTTCTTCCCTTTTCTTTAACCTTTTATTTTTAACTAAAATTTACGATATTTTTCAGTGAGCAAAATTTTTTTTCAACTCAGGCCAACTATAAATTGACCTGAATAATGACAGTACTGGTTCAATTAAGTATATATTTAATAATTTCACTGGAAGAGTTATTTTCTATTGACTTACCCACAAACTACAAGCTGATTTAACTTCTCAAGAGAAGTAAAAATACAATTATGTATCTCCATTATTAAGTACTGAAGAGTACAATCTCTACTTCCCAGCTGAAACTGGCAACTGCAACGTCACCAACTGATTCTGCTCAATGGTTACTGAGGTTAGTATCAGTATCTCAAGCTGTGACTAGCATAACAATTTTAATTTATTTACATTTGTTACAAGTAAAATCAAAAGAAAATTACAAGCTTTGATTACAGTAACACCGGTTAGATGTAATTTTCTGAGTCAGAATTCAAATATACAAAATATACTGCATTACAGCACTTTTAGAGTATTAAACTGCAGCAATCAGCTACACTATCAGTCTATTTTAACTGAAGAAACTTTTAGAACTGTATCACATTCCTTATCCAAGTGATGCATGATAAATATATATGCAACCCACTATAATATAATCTCAAAGTGCAAACTTCTTAAAAAATTAATTACTTTATATTATTTTTCCTATTAAAGGAAATTTAATTTAGCAATTAAAAATCCACCAGCTCGCTATCACATATTATAGAGGGTTCACAGACGAGAGTTCCAGTACTATAAAGGATGAGATCCTTTCACAGATCACAATACTAATTAGGACAAGAACAACCAAATAAACAATTGTAACTACCTTGCTTAGACCAAATAAAATTCTGTACAGCTATCCCAAGAATATACCCATTTTTTTCTTGGATCTACTAAACATGTACCTAGGATTACTAGGATTTACTACACAATTCTTTCACAGTGAGGCTCTGTAGTATACCCCCTACACAAATTTCAGAACTTTATGTTTAGGGGAGATTTGCAAACTTAGGTCAAATTTAACTAAGATATTCAAAAGAATAAGATAAGAAATTTCTTAGTTATTACTCCTTAAATACATACTACTCCTTAAATAATTATAAAAATTATTAAATTGGAATCCAGCAGTTTATAAAAAAAAATTACAGCATTGAGTTTCAGCTACTTCATCACATGACTCTACATGTTCGGTGAGTTGACTTCCAACTCCTATTGACTTATGCAGTCCTGTGAAAAAGAAAGTATGCCCTCCTTTGAATTCTATAGTTTTACGTATCAGGACATAGTAAAAATCATCTGGTCCTTAGTTTTTAAAAGCAGGTAAATACTATCTCAGATGAACAACCTGACATATTACCCCATGTCATCATTTATTTTACAAAAAGAAAGCCCAGGGTGTAGCTTCTTTTTCACATAACTATAAGGACCAACCATATTGTTCTTGGTAACCACAAAAGTATCTAACCAGTATCTGCCAGTATCTAACCTGAAACCCTAGAATTTCTAGCTTGCCTCCAAGTATTTGTCCGCCCCCCAAAATCAGCCAACATCAGCTAGGTAGCAGCCAGTTACTCTTAAACGAACAATAACCTCATTACCTACTTTTACTAGACATTCTATTGTAGAAGCTTAAAGTAAACTACATGCAAAATAATCAAGATCACATTTATTCTTATCAGATGTTCTTAAATGACATGATTTTGAGTTTATTAGTTCTGAACTAATAGTTTAAAACAGCTATTTCCACAATAGGCTACTAAAAGATGAGCTGTGCATGGAATGCTTTATGTCTGATATAACTTGACAGAGTATATTAAATTTTATGAAGTTCCTATTTGATACCCCCTTTGAAGACATTGTTTAAAAAATATTAAACATTTATGATCTTTAAATTATTTTTTAAAAACATATGAGGAAATTAAAACAGGTTTATTTCCACTGGCATGGATTTAAATGAATGAGATCAATAACTATCTTGGTACAAAATCAATGTATATTTTGGCATTCAAATCACAAACCATCAAAGGCTTATGTGGATAAATATTGCATGCAATATTTGGGGGGAATTTTAAAGCTCTGTAAAAGAAAAATAATTTTTGTGTTTAATTTTTACTTGCAGGGCTGCAAGCTAACTTTTCACGTTAAAAACTTGGAATTCTTTATTATTCAAATACAAGAATGGAAGACAGCATGCTAAGCCAAACAGTACTAGAGTTTGCTTGGAAGTTAAGTTTGAATGTGCCTTCAAACTATTAACAGATTTTAATTAAGCTATATCTAAGTCAACTTACATATTTTATTTTGCACGAATGGTTGTCAAGATACGAGTTAAAGAACGATTTGTAACAAAAACTTTAATCTTCAAGAGTTTACAGTGACAAGACAACTTATGCACAATGAGGAAAATTTCTATCTACAATGTACCCTTATATATATGTACTTATCCAAATCAACAGTTAATTTGCATTACAAATCTGTTTTAGCAGTAGTGCTCTACAGAAAAAGGTGTTCATATTTAATTTACATTTTGCACAATGGTAATTCTGGTATAAATCAGAACTCAGATTTAGAAAAAAGGCTAACTACAAGTTTTCAGTCTTCTTGTTTGCCACTGGTTTATTCTGGCCAATTAAGCTTCCACATTTCATACTGCAGAGATTGTCCATTCACAATTATAGCAAATATTCATGATTTACAAATTCATGTGTTAATTTGAGTTTAGCTTTTGAAGATTCTAGAATATGACCCAGCAGACTATGAACATTTGCTGCTATAGGTTTCATGAGGATTTATTTACCTCTGCAAGGTAACTGGCTAACATTAACATAGTTTATGCTGAAGGGTACAATGTAGAACAGGTTTATTACACTTTGAATGTCCTCCTCAAAACCATATACATTTTCACAACTGTTACATGTCACCTGTTACAAAAGAAACAAAATTTGACAGCTAAAACATTTTTAAAATGCACCAAGCTTTATGAGGTCTTAAACAAAACAATGTTCTGTACATACTGTCTTCAGACCAAAATGTGACTTCCTGTATACCATTCTTCCTGAAGTTCTATTTCCTGTCATTTGACCTGGAACGGCTAAGATTATACACAAAAGATTTAGTCAATGATAAATGGACTCCCAAATTGTATTTCAATATAATGTAAATATTGTGCAAGTTTAGTTTACATATGAATATTCAACTTGGCCTCTATATAGGCAAGGAGATTTTTACGGAAAACAGATATTTTAACATATTTTTAATCACTCTTTGAGTGTGTCGATATATTCTTACCTACGAGATCTGGAAAATGAACGGGAAGGCTTATGATTTCTCTCCCTTGAGAGTGACCTCTCTCTCCTTCTATCTCTAGAAAGGGATCTGTAAAGGAAATAGTATCATAAAGCAAGTTGCATCAAAAATCAGGTTCTAGAACAGCCCCCCCCCGCTCCCCCAATCTTTTGAACATCAGGGAGATTCTGTGGAGGTTTTTTCATGGATCAGAGGGGGCGTGGTTTTGCACATTGCCTGCATCCCGCAAAGGGGGCTTTGCTTGTTTGCATGGCCAGTTTCTGGCATGCTGTGGCCTGGTGTCGGTTCACGGACCAGGGGTTGAGGACTTGTTCTAGAAGAGAAGTGTTTATCATTCTCAAATAGAAACAATGTGTTGAATATTTTCAATTAACACTTGTGGCATGATGTATACATATAAATTGTTTTCTAGAGTGATTTAGAGCTGTGATATATCAATGCTTCAGATTCATGCTTGGCAATCCCAAATAGATTCCATATGAATATTTACTACCAGAAAAAGTCAAGGATGACTTCAGAATAAACTATAAATAAACTATTCAGCAAAGATTTAACAATTTATATCTTTGACAAGGTATCTCATTCTGAAGCCACCTAATTCAAAATTAAATTTTCCCTCTTAACAAATTGGAAAAATTAGAAAAGGTCAGTTTAAAGGGTCATTTAAAACTATTTTTATAGGTAAATTATGTTCAGCCATGTTCTTCCATTCTGTAGTTTTTCTCAACTTGGCCCCTTCAAAGTGTGCAGATTTCAACTCCCAGAATTCCAGAGCCAGCAAGCTGCCTGGGTAGTTCTGGGATTATAAGTCCACATATCTTGAGATTGTTATGCTTGAGAAACACTGCTCTAGTGTATGGACCATTAGTGCATGACACTTCCCATTCCCAGATCTATAAAGTAAGTCTGTTTGCATGACTATCTCAATTTGTAAAACATTTTCATGACAGGGAATGTTTCTTTACATCTATGTGTGAAATACTTCGGCAATGCATGATCCGCACCAACAATTTACCTGCTACGACTACGGGAAAAACTCCTCCTCCGTGGAGATCTACAATCAAAAAAGAAAGGTGAGTCTTTTCATCAATTCAACACAACTGAGGTGAGGTAATTCCCAACTTGTCAAGTCACTGTTGGGCCCAGTGAATGTGCCAAGATAAATGGCACCCATCGTCCAGCAAAATGGAAAGATTCAGGCATTAAAAAGACTCAGCGTGATCAGCATGTTTCCAGCCATGAGTTTGTTTTAACTAATACCATGTCATAGCAAACCTGTCTCCAATGCAGCACTTCCATCTCAACAAAATCCACTGCCTAAAAGACTATACCAAAGTCCCATAAGTAGTTCCAAAATTGGTATAACTAGTGTTTTGGAACCCATGCAAGGCAGAGTACCAAGTGAAAGACTAATGCACAGTGACAATGACTCATTAGAGCTGCATCTGTGAATGTAATTTTTAAAAGGTCATAGTGTTTAGTCTAAAGAACCTTAGCTTGCCCAGTTTATCCCATAAAGTAATTGTTCTGAAATAGTTAGTAAAACAATTTAAAGGTGAAAGGAGGTAGCAGTTTTTTTGCAATGAAAACCAGTTAGCAATTAAGTTTGCCCAACTCACATGCAAATATACTGCAGCTTAGTTATTTATATTAGATTCCTTAACACCCTTAAAAGTTTTATTCAAGCAACATATGTATGTTACCACGAAATTATGCACAGCCAGCCTTTGATTGAGAAAAAATAATTACTTATAAGCCGCTTACTCCTTATTTTAACCAGCAGTAAACTGTATAAGCAGGAAAAACTTACTAGTTTTTGGTTTCAACAAGCTACAAATGGTGAGGTGAGGCTGCCGGACTGACTGCCAAGAAGAATTTGCTGAAAAGGTTTTGCCAGGTGTTGCGTTGTATTTAGTTGGTTGGCGAAGGGGGTGTTGTGGATTTTTCCTGCTTTTTTGTTAGCCGAAGGCTGCTGCTGTAGTTGTTGTGAAGACATTTGGTAAATAAACAGCTGAGCTGATTGGCCGGGAATGTGTGGGCGGTCGAGGTGGCTGCAGCCGATTTGGTTAAGGTTGGAGAGAAGGCTGAGAGAAACAGCATGCTCGGGAACCAAAGGGCGGTGCAACCTGACGACTGGCCATGCCTGGGTCATGTGAAACGACACCAGCCAAGCTGAATGGGGCGCGCTGGTCACATGACGCTGAAAGGGCTAGTTGACTGGCTAATGCAGACTCAGAGGGTGGTGAGAAGAGACATGATGGTGACTCTGTAACGGGTTCATTTTTATTAATAGATGGACCAAAAAGCATAAAAAAATGAAAAACAAGCCATCAGTACAACCATCTAGCAGCTAACAAATACTCCTATTGTGTTCTACAGTGAAAGGGAACAGGTTTCATTATTTTGTATGGACTCCATTCATCTGCAATAGGTTGAGATCAGCCCTTGCAGAAATTAGGTTTTAAGTACTGAAGTGAGTATTTAACACTTCATCAATTATCCAGGTCAGAGGGTGCATTACCAAGTAACAATCTGCTTTTGTTTGGGGAATTCATAACTGTAGAATTCAAATGAGGCAATAATATTTCAACAGATTTTATTAGTTGAAATTTAGCCGAGTAACTATTCATTGCTTCAGAATCCATAAAACAGTTGCCTGCTTAGCATCATTTGTGCTAAAGGAAAAGCAAACTGAGTGAAAAAATCCAAGCTGTTGTATGTAATGTTTATCAACAATGAAGAAAAAAAAAAGCTGAAGTACTGGGACAAAAAAGGGAAGTGACTAGATGAATATACTAGATGAATATGTTAGAGGATACTATCAACTGGTACAAGGACAGAAGCCAGTGCTCAACAAAGTGTATCCCTCTAACAGTTGCTTAATGCTTTAGAATTTGGTGGTTTGATAGACAGTGCAGGTTTTGAAAAGTCTATTTTGCCAAAATGGTAGTACTGCCAACATCATTAATAAAGTTATTTCATCCTGCATACCTGCGGCGAGGTGGAGGACTTCTCCTGCGATAGTCATCTCGAGGTCGTCTTCCCCATGAAGGAGGTGGGCCACGGTTCCGACTGCGTTTTTCACCATTGGACAGTTCCACCCTAACCCGACATCCACACAATGTTCTGGGAAAGATCATGAATAATATTAATAGATTTAAGTCCAACAATTAAAGGACATTTGCTCATACAATTTCCTACACTAAGTGACAGGGATGTTTTCCAATATTTTAGACAATTCCTATCAGTACAGTCAGTGGCAGAATAATCTGAACACAGAATCTTGCAAGCCAACCTATTTACTTTGTCCTATTGCTCACATACAAGCTATTTCATTATTGAAGAATGACACAAGTACAAGAGTCCAAAATGTTATTTTGTATTCACTTTTGGGTTTTCAGTATAAAGGCTTAATATTTAAAGAAATTAACATGAAAACATAATTGCCAGTAATAGTGTTGGACTGAGTCATTCCTAAGCATTAAGAATGCTTAGGAAACATTTTAAATGCCAAATCGAAATACCAAATGATAGAACATTTCAGTATTTTTAAAATCTGGTCACCATAAAAATAACATATCTTTCAGGTACTTTCAAATTGAAATCTTCCCAAGCTAACAATTCATACATTGATCAGTGCTTAGAACTTTCTGCAAAAATTCCTTTACTTAAAATCCTTTTAAAGGAACATTTTAATGTGTTTTTTCACTATTCATAACATTTTTCAAAATCAGAATGCTCACTTGGAGGTTTCCCAAGAAAATCATAAGTAAGTTTACCTCCCATCTAGTTCTCTCACTGCATCGGCAGCATCCCGCGGATCTTCAAATTCAACAAAAGCAAAACCGGGGGGATTTCTAGCGACCCAGACGCTCCGCAGCGGTCCGTAGTAGCCAAAAGCTCGTTCCAATTCGGTTTTGTTGCCATTATTCCCAAGGTTTCCTACATAAACCTTGCAATCCAGTGGGCACGAATCACGATGCATCTCTGAAATTCATGCAAAAACGGCAATCATAGAAGGTAATCCGCCTCCTGATTACCAAACGAGAGAATCTTATAAATCTCACACATAATTATTATAGATAACGCTAAAGTTTTTTAAAAACCATTGTGAACAATCAACTTCCGAGTTCATACCTGTTCACATTTATCGAAAAAAATGTTTTGGATGAAAGTTGAAATCCAAAAATGATCTGAATTTGGAGAAGGCAATTAAGTAACTCAATGTAAAATCAGGAAAGTAATCAGCAGCGACTTTTCCCGGTTTTGCTACGTTTTCCCCCCAATTGCTGCTGTGCGAACTACTATCACATCAGGTAGCCTTTCATCAGGTAGGCAAAGGAGCACAACAGTTAAACCTCGTGCTCGACCGCAAGAAAAAACATTGTACGTAGAAAATGGCGCGCCCCTTTTTAACCGCTTTTAACGTAAGATTAAGCTACGAAAGCTGCTCACAATCTCCGTCTCCCTTTGACTATCCCGCCCCCCCGCCGCTTTCACCTGGGGTGCGAGTATAGTAAAAAAAATAACAGCCCATCAGTCATCTCCTCTCCCACGTAAAGCGATCAATCCTAGATCGCAGTATCTTTGACGCTATTTCGATCACACAAAATGGCGGCGGCTCTTTGTCCGCTAATACAACCGCGAGGCCTTCTACGCCGACCCACCCCTTTTCTCTCACCGGTTTCCTGGCCAAAAGACTCCCGCGAGCGGCTGCCAGTCTTTTTCCTCTTTGCCTCCTCTACTTCGTCCTGCAGCCCCGTAAGCGCGGTTGGAGTCGCTGGCTTTCCCGCCAAGACTCGATTCTGCGGTCCTTTACTTCTCCCCCACTGGACAAAATGGCGGATGGTACTTCCACGCCCTGACTTTTTATATACCGCCTGCTCAACCGGCACGTGACCAAAACATTCACCAATAGCAAGACACCTCTCTGGTGATTGACTTTCTCCGGCGCCCTACCCCCTTCCCGATGCCCAGCTCAGACTGAGAGTGCTGGTCGGAGGGCCCAGCCGGTTCGCCATAGCAACCGTTATTGTAACCGCATGGAAGTGGCAAGGGAGGGATAGGTGGACCCTACAGTAGAGTCATGGAGGCCTGGGATTCGGTGGCGGTTAGATCGGTCGTGTTTTGCGCTCAGCGTATTCTTGCGATGCATAAAGGCTCAAGAAGAGGGTTGTTTTTGTGGCACTCCGTTCTTTCTGGGGAATAGTTATGTCCCAGTTGCTGCATGTTTTTGACTATCAGGACTATGTAATGCTATCTTAACTACAAACCGCATGGTGTTGCAGAAAAGGGAGCGGAAAAAAGGGATATTTATTCAGACTTGACTTTCCAAACCTTGAAATGTTGCAGCTCTGTTTTGGATACTGAATGAAAGTGACTTCATTCTACATACCTTTTTAAAATTACACCTTGCAACTGAACACTTCCTTTAAATAAGGAAAGTAATGATTAATAATACATAATTTCCCATTCCTGGCTATGTTGCTAACTGGCCAAATACCTTGCTCCTATGTAATTTAGATGTTTTACTGTTTTTATTATTTTAAAATGTTTTTAATAGGTTTAATGTATTTTTTGAATTGTAAGCTGCTCAGAGTCATTGACTGAGCAGGGTGACTATAGAAATTGAATAAAATTTAAAAATTGTGATTTAATGTATTTGAGCTCTATCAGAGTATGAAAACAATTTCAAGGGTCAAAAATCCCGACTAAAGTGAAGTGTTTGTGCAATTTTCAGTGGAATCGTCTTGTTCTGGTTATCATGAAAAGGAGCTAAAATAATAATTTAAAAATCTTAATAATTTATTTTTGTGCCAGCAGACTTCTAGCAGAAAAGAAGCAACAAATGTTCCCAAATAGAGCTTTGATTATTTGTAATGAAACCAGCCTCAGGGACCATGCTAAGTGCAGTGAAGAAGAAGCCACACACAGGGAGAAGTGACAAAGTGGGAAGAGTCTAATTTATAAGGAGGAGTTGAGGCAGTTGAGGGTTTGGACTATTGCATCAGTCTCTATCTTTTCCATGGTGAACTCTGCCTTGGATTCTGTAAAACAAAAGTTTTTCCTGCAGTACACAACTTAATGTTGAAGGCTAAGATATTTCTACTTAGTGTTGATGGCCAGATATTTCTACATCTGAATATCCAGATAATGCCCAGATATTTCTACATCTGAATATAGTTGATATGCAGATTTAAAACCCCAACCCAGTCCTTTCTCTTTTTGCCTGATGCATTTGTTAAAGACCAAACATGCAACAGGTCAGTGGGGTATATATACTGCTTTGGTTTTTTTGGCAAGATACAAACTCCTGTCAACAATTCCCAAATCCCACAGCAAGTCTCTGGAAGACATTACAGTCCTTGACTTAATGATAGTTCATTTAGTGACTGTTCAAAGTTATAACACCACTGAAAAAAAGACTTATGACTATTCTTCACACTTATGACCATTGCGCATCCTTGTGGTCACGTGATCAAAATGCAGAAGCTTGGGGACTGACTCTTATTTATAACTGTTACAGTGTCTCGGGGTCATGTGATTACCTCTTGCGACCTGACAAGCAAAGTCAATGGGGAAGCCAGATTCACTTAACAACCGTGTTATTAACTACAGTGATTCACTTAACAACTGTGGGAAGAAAGATTGTAAAATGGGGCAAAATTCACTTATCAAATGTTTTGCTTAGCAACAGAAATTTTGGACTCAAATTGTGGTTGTAAGTTGAGGACTACCTATATTATCATTACCTACATTTATGCAAGTTGCTAAATTATCACTCATTTAGCTTAAAATCGATGAGCTGACAAGCCATATGTATTACATTATAAAATGTTTTTGAACCATAATACATCTTATAGTTTCCTTTGGACATGTAAATGCAACAATTTAGAATTGTTATTCATCGTGATTTATTATTTAGAATAATGCACAAATAAATTATGACATTTGGGATTCTGTAGCTTGAGCTCTAGACTTTACCTTTGCTGCTTGAAAAACATTTATTTTGGTTGCTCTTTGACTTTAACTATTGTTCCAAAAAAGGCTTTGTAACTTGTAAATAGCCAGCAAGGAACTTATGTAGCTGATTTCTTATATTTTTGTATATTTTGCTCTAACATGATAGTTTGCAGCGAAGTGTTATAAATATTCCTCTGAAGGAATATTAAAAAATGATATAAATAATTTTGGAATTCCCAGAGGAGATGTGATGTTTTCTGAGAAGTACCCTGGGATCAATTGGCTTCCACAATATAAGTAAGATTTGGCAGGCATATGGGCATATCCAAATTGGTGGCAATTTGCAGTTTTCCCATGAGCATGTGTTTTTCATTTTTATGACTTTAGGGGATTTCAATTTTGTCTGGGTTCCTGGTCTAGGCAGATATATTGTACTGTAGGTAGTATATACTGGTATAGTATCCTATGAGTGCCACCTTTCTCCAAGTGCTGATTTTCTCATGACAACAAAGTTTTGGAGAGGTTTCCCATCCAGGCCAGCATTGATAATATTTTTTGGTGCAAAGTGAAATGATGGGTAAAAATCTGGATTACCAGTAGATGGAAGCAAATAGTTTTTTGCATTTTTCTCTGTTATTGCAGTCCAACCTACCATAGTAATGGATACTCTTGCCCACCGATCTTTAGTATGGAGTGGAATACGTATGCAAGTGAATAGCTCAAATATAGTATAGACCTTGGCCTAGTGTCATAAAGATGTGAACTTGTTGCACTTTGCCATCTAGCGGTGAGTTAAGTAAATCTGTTTGCCTTTCCGATTATAATAGTTTCATTTTCTGCTTTCACTGTTTCCTATGTTCAACAATTTGGACATAGGTGCTCCACTTTGGACATAGCTGCCTTATTATATGTTATCATCTCCATCACAGTAGTTACATAGTATTTTTATTATTTGAATTTGAAGCAATGTCTAATTATCAGGAAGATATACAAATTGTTTTAGCAGTGTGGTATTCTCAAATCTCATTGTATTCAACCCTATCGTACTCTTTAATAATCCCATTTTCTTTCTTGCTTACTTAGTCAATTGCGACTGTAAATAATTTATTTTTGTGCATATAAAATTCTTCTATAGTTTTCTTTTGTAGAGGTATCCTTTCAGTTTAACCTCCACTAGTATCAGTTGTCTAAATAATTTACAATTATTATTACTGGTAGTCCTTGACTTACAATCATTCATTTAGTGACTGTTCAAAGTTACAATACGCTGAGAAAAAAGTGACTTATGAATGGTCCTCACAGTCAGGTGATCAAAATTTGGATGCTTGGCAACCAGAATGTATTTACAATACTTGCAGCCTCCCAGGGACATATGATCACCATTTGCAACATTCCCAGCCAGTTTTTGACAAGCAAAGTTAATGGGAGAAACTGGATTCACTTAACAACTATGTGATTCATTTAAAAACTGCAGTGAGTTGCTCAACAATTGTGGTGAACCATGTGGTAAAATTGCCCATGACTCATTTAACAACCAGCTTGGTTAGCAAGAGAAACTGTGGTCCTAATTGTGATTGTAAATTGAGGACTGTAATCATATTATGCTACCTTCTGGGTTTTTTTTTTACTATTCTGGATCCCATGAGCATTATCTATCTTTATCATCACAACCTTCTTTGCTTGGCCACTCACATCTTGAGGCCTCCCTGCCATAGTCTTTGCTCTTCTGGATTCATTTTTTTTTAATATCTAAAGGTTTACTATGTAATTGTTGTCCTTTACCACTGTAACTATATTTAGATATCTGTAATTAAAGTAATTGACTTCTTCCTCATATTATTTCTGCTTTCATTTCTCCTGATGTCTGGTAAATAGATGCTTTCATCTGCTCAACCATGTCAGTACTTTTATAAATAAGCAAACTCCCATGACAGTCTTTTTTTTTTTTTGAGAATTCTCATGTTACAATCTTAAAAATCCAAACATATTTTGTCAGCCTCAAAATATTACTTTCTCTACTTTCACATCAAAAACACAGGTGACTTCACTGGAAAAGATTTGTCTAATTTAAGAAGCATATTAAACTGAAACAAGAGCATGAAAAATGATAATGAAAGGTCTAAAAAGTTAATAGCTGTGGAAAGGTTGAAAGAATTGCATAATGTTAGCCAAGAAAAAAGACCAAAAAAATAGCAGTTATCTTCGGAGTTTTGAAGGATTTTCACATCAAAGATGGAGCAATTTTGGATTTTCAGTTCAGAAAAATGGGATTTGAATTAATAGGTATACATGATTAAAAAGTAAATTTTATTTAAACTATAACCTGTTCGCCAATAAAAGACATTGCCTCCAGTAGTGGATATTCTATCAGGGATAATGCAGCTGTTGGTTTTCTGTTTCATTGAGAAAATGGACTTGATGGTTTTGAGGTCACAATCTAGAACTCTTATTATTTCAGACTCTACTTAATTGCAGAAGTTGGTGATAGTTTTCTAATTCAAATTTCCATATTAGAAAATTGAAACTTAATGCAAGCTTATACTATGCAAACTTGAGGATTTTTTTTTTACTTTTCAGTATTAGGGGCAATCAATGATCAAGTATGTGTATGTATAAGTAGAAGGCATATATAACAGTAAACTTTCCCTCCATAATGTTTTCTTCCTGTGCTAACTATCTTTCCTTAGTGCCATCTTGTGTAGATGGAGTTTACATTTATTTTTGGCGAATCCAGCCTAAACAAAGGCACATCAAAAGTTGATGTTAGCAAATAACACACACTCCAAATTACATATACATTTGCAATGCTTTGCCACTAATATTTCATGACACATATTTCTAGTCACTCTGAAGAAGTTTTAAGAGTCATAGGTTGT